ACTTAACCCCATTGCCTAGCCAAAAGAAAAAATGCTGCTGACCCTTTCTGAATTAAATTCTCAGGAACTGGAATTGGGGAAAGTGGGGAATTGAAACTATTTCCCCATAAAAATGTTGGTTATTCCAAATATGCCTTGGCCTTGGGTGTGATTATGAATGTGACAGAGATAAACAGATCCTTTCAGGTTCCCAATGTTTTTTTTTTTTAAGTTGTGATTTTATTGTTATTGTTTAAGATTTTGCAATTTTAGGCTTGTTCTATCACAGTGCTAACTAGAAACAGAGAAGATGATTGAGGTGCTCTGCAGGATATTTATGACAGCAGCAATTTAACTTCATATGGTGATTTACCACTACACAAAATATTTTTCACATAACAAAGCCTCACACCATTTTTTTTTTTGTGCAATCACTTCAGTCGTATCTGACTCTTTGTATTCCCATTTGGGTTTTCTTGGCAAAGAAACTGGAGTCATTTGCCATTTCCTTCTCCACCTCATTTGATAAATGAGGAAACTGAGGCAAACAGGGTTAAATGATTTGCCCAGGGCCACACAACTAGTAAGTGTCTGAGGCCAGAACTGAACTCAGGAAGATGACTCTTCTTGACTCCAGGCCCTGCATTCTACCCACTGTACCACCTAGCTACCCATCTTGCCCATATTTGATCACAAATCTCCCACAGAGAGCTATCTGGGGTGCTAGATAATATGTTGCCACCTGTGACCCCCACCATGAGTCTTTCTCTTGTCCTCTTGTCATTTTTTGGGACGCCACCCTGAAGAAATCCATCACTCCTGACTCCCATAGATATGGATTGAGTTCCTTGTCAAGCAGGCTGTGGGTCCAGGGGAATCAGAGCCTGGGAACTGCTTCTGATAAATACCTCACTATACCTGACTGCTTCACGGTACCTGAGTCACTTCATCTACCTGTTTGTTTTTCATATTTAAATGTTTCCCTTGGTTTCTGTTACTTTTGATGGTTGATCATTCTCCCTTTTCATGAATACTCTTTCTTCTTTTGCTTCAGGGACTCCACATTTTCTTGGCTCTCTTCTTACCTTTCCAATTTGGACTTCTGTGTGCTTTGGTGGCCCCAGAAGGAGCCAGACCCTCCTGCCTGCCCCACTGTCTCTTTACACCCTCTATGCCCAAACTCAGCGGCCTATCTTTCTTTCTCAATCTCTTCTTTCTTTTGACTTCACGATTTCTCTGTGGCAGAAACACTGTCTATTCAGTCGCTTGCATTCTCAACCCTGGGGTATCTTTGACTCCTACCACTCAGGCACTTCTCAGGAGTTATGATCAGTTAACCACACTTCCCAGGCTGAGCTCAGCAATATCTCTCACATCTCTGCCCTCTTCTCTTTTTATTCCCATTTTTGTTGTTCAGTTATTTTTCAGTCATGCCCAACTCTTATGGCCCCATTTGGGTTTTTCTTGACAAAAGATACTGGAGTGTTTTGCCATTTCCTTCTCATTTTACAGATGGGGAAACTGAGGCAAACAGGGTTAAGTGACTTGCCCAGGGTCACCCAGATAGTGTCTGAGGCCAGATCTGAACTCAGGAAGATGAGTCTTAGCCTGGCACTGTGTGCACTATGGTGTCACCTAGCTGCCTTTATTCCCATTACTGCCATGCTAATTCAGGTCCTTATTACTACCTGCTTAGACTCTCGTAACAGCTTCCCAAATGGTTTTCCTGTTTACATTCTCTCCTTTCAATCCATGCTTTGTATTTCAGTGAGAATAATCTTTCTTATGAACAGATAGAATAACAGTTCCCATTCTGAAGCATTTTAAAGCTTGAAATGGGCTTTACATATTATCTCTCTTGATTTTCACAACAAACTCACGAGGTAGTATTATCTCTAGTGTATTATCCCCATTTTACAGATAGATAAACTGAGACTTAGAGAGTGACTAGATATTATGTCACTCTTCTTGTCAAAAATCTTCAATGGCTCCCTATTATCTCTTAAATAGAGTTCAGATTCTTTGCCTGACATTTTAGGTCCCCTGTAAACTGAATTCTTTCTCATTTTGTATTGGTTAACCTTCTTCAGTATAAGGTAACAACATCTTTATCCTTCATACCTCTTGTTTCCTATTCTCCTTTCTGCTCCCCTCCTTTCTACTCCTCTTCTTTTCTTTTCTTCCTCTCCTCTCCCCTGTTCATTTCCTTCTTTGCTGTTAGCAGTGTTTAGACAGGTTGAGTTGGAGCCGCTGCAACCATACGCAATGTCTTCTCATTTTTAACTTTCCCTTTATTTAGCAGTGATTTTGAACTTTGCTTTAAACAGCTGATGATCTAACTATACACAGAGAAGCTTATTTTCAAATGAACGTCACATCAGTAATGAGTCATTTCTCTTCTGTTAAGATGTAGTAAATTTCATTCCTCTCTGTACTGGTTATGTTTAGTGACTTCTGACTTTCTTCTTAAAAAAAGTATCAATGACACATAGACAAGACACTTCATGGGGAGACAAATGCCAATCTTGCATGAGTTCAGAAAAATAAACTCTACAACAGTTCATGTGAAAAAAGAAAGCCACTGGGTTTTTTTGTTTGTTTTTGGGTTTTTTTTAGGGGACTGAACATTTAATGTGAGTTAGTAGTGTGGAGGCAGTCAGAAAAGCTAATGCAAATTTGGGCTCCTTTAACACTAGAAAGGCTGCATCCAGAATGATGGCTGTACTAATCCTGCTGCCCCTCCATCTTACCCGGACTATAGATGGAGTATTTCCTTCACATTTGGGTACCTCTTTAGGAAGGACACTGACATGCAAAGGAATACATACAAAGGAAGCTAACCCAAATACTGAGGGGACTTGAAAATAGTTGAAGAAACCTATTGTGAATTTTTAACCTGAATGAGGCAGTTAGCTTCAATTCTAGTATTTGAGAGGGTACCACGTGGAAGAGAGATTAGCTTGAAACACCATTTGCTTTCTCCACTGCTACTCAGGGGCTGCTGGACAGAACTAAAGGAAGCCCCACAATTGTGCTAACAGGGTACACTACAAATTTAGGCTATTAAACCTCAACTGGCCTTCAATCCATAAAGGCAGGTAGGTGGTGCAGTGGACAGAGTAAACTTGTAGTCAGGAAGACCCAAGTTTGAATCTTACCTTAGACACTTACTATCTGGGTGACTGTAGACAATTCACTTACCTCTCTTTGCCTCAATTTCCTCATCTGTAAGATGAGGATAATAATAGCACCTATCTATCTCACAGGGTTGTTGTACGGATCAAATACCATGCAATATATAAAAAATGCTTTAAAAATAAAACATTAATATATCATTAATGTAATTAAAATATTATACAAATAACATTAAAATATTAAATACATGTTACCTATTATTATTATTATTATTATTTTATTTCTCCCTACTTCATTCCCTATATCACTCCCCACAGGAGCTATTCCAAACCTTCTCTTCTTTCTATTCACATAACCTTCCCTTCTCCCCACCTTATAAAGTTGAGTATCTTATCTGTCTCTTACTTTTGTGAGAAAAGAGAGGCTATTAGCCATGGGCTCCCTCTTCTTCCTTTCTTTTCATCTCAAAACCCCTTGATATAACCTCACTTTCTTCTCCTTTTCCTCATTTCATGACAAAGAGATGGCCCTTTTCCTTGCCAAGGCCAATGTTTCTACATGTATGCTTGATGCTATCCATTTCCTTGTTCTCCAACCATTTCTTCCACCAAGTGCCTCATAGAAATCATAGGTGAAAATTGCAAAGATGTAAGTTTCAGCCTAATATAAAGAAAAACTTCCCAACAACTGATACTGTCCAAGGAAGAGAATGAACACCTCAGCTCCTCATGACATAGTAAAATCCCCACAAAGACTGGAGGTGTTTACTAGAAGGCCAGATGGCCATTTTGGGGGGATATGGTAGACATCATTCCAACTTGGATACGGATTGGAATAGATGACCTCTGAGGTCCCTCCCAACTCTATGAATCTGTGTTTTTTTATATTATTGATGTGTCACCATTTTCTTGTTTTCTTTTAAGTTTTGAGACTGTAAATTCTGCTGCAAGCTCCTTGAAGGAAGGGTCCCTATCTCCTAGCTCTTTTATTTTAGCTGTCTCTCCCCTTCCCACCCACAGCACCTTGTTGTTTAATGAACAGTGCTACACTGTGAGCTGGAGATGACAGGAACCAAGGGCTAGAAAGGCCCTTAAGATCATCCAGTCCAATCCCCTTGTTTCACAGATGAAGTGGGAACAGAAACCAATCCAATGGTGCTCTTTGTTTATGGTATTTACCCCTGAAAAACAATGAGAGAAGGGTGTACATATTCCCTATGGTAAGGAGAAATTTTTATGAATTCCATCCCCGTGGGCCCTCCTTTTGGCTGACAATTTTCACCCATTCCCCTTTTTTGTCTTATGTGTTGGTCAGTGGTCTCAAGTATTTACGGCCTTCTAAAGTAATTGCAGGTCCATGTATGTGCATCTATCTATGCATATATAACTAAAAGAAATAAAGCTTTTGCTTTCAGGCTATCTCATTCGCACTTGCAGCAAAACATTTACAACCCAGCTATAAAGTACATGAAAATACAGTGGAAGCATCGACATAACAATGAAAAAAACTGGTGAGAGATATGATGCTATAATACAATCTGTTTTCATATGTTGTAGAAAAATTAATTTTATAAGACTATTCATTTAACAGTGATTTTTTTCAGTTTAGCCTTTGATGCTTGAAACTTTCATTCTCTCTTACCCCTTCCCACTCCCTGTTTAAAATAGAAAAATTGGGGAAACCAATTTTATTTCCTGGTCAACTGTCAACATGATGTCATGAAAGATGTTGTAAGTGACTCTATGGACTCAAGACTAGGGCAGGACACAATACACCCCTGTGCCAAATGTATTACCAGGCATTTCCTCTGAGTTTTTCTTCCACTCATCCAAATGTACATGTTTAATAGACCTCAATAAAACATAGAAGATAATAAGATGTGTTACCTTCTAAAGCAAGGCACCTGGGTGGACTATATGACCAGATAAGGTTATATAAGCACTCGAGATACTCTGACCCCTCTAGTTTGAATCCTGGGAAGCAGTGGTAGGCAATCACTGCCCCCACGGGGAAGTTGGACTGGTACTCAGACATGTTGACGTAACCATTAGCAGAAGCCAGGGGTCTCAGGCAACCTGCAAATTAAAATAAAAGAAGTAGGAATCTTTTATTAGGAAGTGTTTTCTTCAGTTTGTCTTTGTACATCTCAGATAGAGTCCTAGGGATTAAAAACTAGAAAATAAAACACCATCTATTACTGCAACATTCTTAGGAAAAAGAGCAAATACTCAACAACTTGGTCTCATTTTCCAGGTCTCTCACCTCTTTGCCTTTTCTTTTTAATGAGAAAATTTGGCTTTGCCTTTTCAAATGGTATCTAATTTCTACACAGTCAGATAAGTAAAAGTAGGTAAACAGGGAATGATCCTGTGACCCTGGGATTGCATATTCCAATTCTCTAAGCCAAGAAGAGCAAGACACAATCAAACTTCTGATTTGTGTAATTGGTAGCAAAAGAAAAATGTTGCCTAAAGTCAATTCAAGTGCAGCATTCTCATATTTCATTTAACAGATGAGTTACTGAAAAGTTAATAGTCAACTGAATTTTTGTAAACTGAATCATATTTTCAATAATGTAGGATAGTCCAGGTAGCTAGATGGCACAGTGGATAGAGCACCAGGCCTGGAGTCAGAAAGAACTGAGTTCAAACCTGGCCTCAGACACTTACGAGATGTATGACACTGGGCAAGTCACTTAGCCCTGTTTGCCTCAGTTTCCTCATATGTAAAATAAGCTGTAGAAGGAAATGGCAAACCACTCTAATATCTTTGCCAAGAAAACTCCAAATGGAGTCACAAAGAGTCAGACATGACTGAAATAACTCAACAGCAACAACAGTGATGGTCCGCTTTCTAAAATGAATGCTATAGCAGATTCTTCTACCTCAGTGAAGAATCTTTCTTTAATGTATCAGTTTAGGAATGAGACTCAGATTTTTCACTGTTGCCCGCCGTAATGTTTTCCCCCGAGGCTATGCCTGCACACCTGTAGGGGATCACACTAGATCTCAGGAAATTCTGATTTGTGTGGTCATTATTCTCTGCTATCCACAGCCATGCTTTTGCTAGAGGGAACTGCTTGCTGTTGGGATGGAACCCCTAAAGAGAAACAACTTCATATGAGATAAATAATATGTAATGAACCTACAGTCAAGTTTACTGGCAGTCACTGAGTATCGTAGTCTAAAGACTCGAGCAATGGGATTATGATTGCTTTGGGTGGAGATCAGAGAAATTGGTAAGAGAAATAGTAACACCTGGGAGACATGGCTGTGGCTGCATTTTGGAGAGATTCCCCAGTCTAGACTATCAAAGATTTGTGATCTGTCCACTGAGACGTGACTGGGGCACATTCTGATTTAACCATCTGTGTGTTTCTTGTCTGACCATCGGGGATAGAAAATGGAGAACCATCTGCTAAGCACAGCCTCTAGCTCAGCATTAGATTTTAATAAACATTAACTAGTCCCCAAATAAAGGCCAATTGTGGCAAAAGGTCGGCTGTGAAAATCATCCCTCAACATTTCGTTTACATATCCCTGGAAATGTTGCCTATATGCAATTTAAAGCTAAGGTGTATACATATTTAATTTAATTCAACAAGCATTTATTAAGCAAGACGCTGCAAGGTGCTGAAGGTACAAAGACAAAATGAAATATCACTAGCCCTTAGAGACTGCTAGGGAAATATAATATGCATACAGATTTTTGAAAAAGCATTTATTAAATGCCTACTCCATGCCAGGCACTGTGCTAAGCACTTACAAATATTATTTCATTTAATACTCCCAGTAACTACATGAAGTAGGTACTATTATGATCCCCAATTTATCAATGCGGAAACCAAAAACAGAGGTTAAGTGACCTGCCAGCGTCATGCAGCTAGTATCTGAGGCTGCATTTGAACTGAGTCTTTCTTGACCACAGGCCCAGAGCTTTATCCATTATGGCGCTTAGCTGCTAAAGTACACAGAAGATAATTTGGGGACAAGAAAAGGCACTAGTTCTTGGGAGGATCAGGAAAGATGACAGATGACTGCAATAAAATTCTGGATAAGGTGGTTTAGAATATCATATACATGGTAGATAGAGAGCTGGCTTTGGAATAATTAAAAAAAAAACTAGGTTCAAGTCCCATCTTTGACACTATCAGAAGCAATTAGACTTAGAAAGTCAGGCAGTTCTCTAAAATTATGTTTCAGAATAGTTGAGATCTGCATTAGTAGAGGGAATTTCCTCCTTGGGAGTTTCCCTATCCCAATGAAAGAATGGGTCCACACCAAATACAGATACAGAGATATATACAAATAAACACACATATGTATATATGTACATGTAGACACACATATATAGGCAACCTAGTAGTTGTTGGAGAGGAAAAAATTGCCTGAATACTTCTCCTCCTCCTCCTTCTTCTATGTTTCCTTTCTCCAACGGAAAAAAAAAAGTGAGGGCCCAATTCTTCTCAGACCACAGCTTTCTCTTTGCTTGAGGTGGAGCAGGGACATAATCTTTGCTTTGGTTTCCTGTTTCTACCATGCCCCTTCCTTTTTGCATTGGAGACTAGAGTCTTTTAGCAGTCACACCTGTTTACAACAAGGTGGATGAAGTGTCAGGTCAGCAGTCTGAAAAACCCTGGAATTATGAAATAGACACCGTGCCAAGTTATTTCTTCCTGGGGGGAAAATGGCCCTTGCTCTATGTGGTTCATTTTTGCTATTTAGGAGAAAGCATCTATGTCAGGAAATTACTAACAAAGTCATAACTATACATCATCAAGTATAGCTTGCTGAGGCCCCAGTTAAGAAAGCTCCCAACATCTGGCAAAGAATTAGATCTCCGACCTATTTAAATTCTGTGTATTTCCAGACAGCCCCTGCTGTCCTCCATTCCTCTTTGCCTGAAATGGAATAAAGATACAAATATGCCCACTTGGCATTTTCATGCCTGGAATACTCCCCCTCCCCATCTCTGCCTCCTGGATTCCCTGGCTTCCTTCAAGTACCAGCTAAAATCCCACCTTCTATAGGAAGTCTTTCCCAATCCCTCTTAATTTTAGTGCTTCCCTCTGTTGATTATCTCCAGTTTATCCTGAACATAGCTTGTAGGTACTCACTTAAGCCTTTTTGCCTCAGTTCCCTCATCGGTAAAATATGCTGGAGAAGGAAATGGCAAATCACTCCAGTATCCTTGCCAAAAAAAAAAAATCCCAATGGGGTCATGGAGAGTCAAACATGACTGAAATGACTCAACAACAAAAAGATTGTTTGTGTGTTGTCTCTCCGATTAGATTGTGAGCTCCTTGAAAGCAGGGACTCTCTTTAACTTTTCTTTGTTTCCCCAGTACTTAGCCCAATGCCCGGCATACAGTAAGCACTTTATAAATGACAACACACAGCAGTCATCACTGATCATGAACTTTATGTCAAGGAAAATGATTTCAAAGAAAACAGTTCAATCAGAAGATATTCAGAAACGTAAAGACCAGAAAAGTACATAGTAGTAAACTGACCTCTGTTTGAAGGTGGAAATAAATCAGAGAGGGAAGGAAAATTTGGAGCACATCATGGATTTTGGGAGTTTCTCAGAGAGAAATAGTTTAGCTCTGCTCCTCTGAAGGGTTTCTTCAACAGGAACAACAAAGAGGCGAAGCTCCAGCTTCATCAACACTAACTATCAAATCACCCACCATCATATTGCTGCTCGGGCTGCTACTCTCTCTGTTGTTTGCATTTCCACCTTTCCTTCCACTGTCATTTATGAACAATCATCTGTTAAGGGTTCACTATCTGCCAGGCACTGTGCTAAGTGCAGGAGGTATAAAGAAAGCTAAAAATAGCCCTTGTCCTCAAGGAGCTAATATTCAAATAGAGGAGATGGTGTGAGAATAATTAGGTACCTATAAGATGTATGCAGAGTAGATGGAAGGTAATCTCAGAGGGAAAGGTACTAGCAGATGGGGAAACCAGGTAGAACCTCCTAGAGAATGCAGGATTTGATCTGAATCTTGAAGAAAGGCATGGAAACTGAGAAGCAGAGGTGAGAAGGGATGATATCCTGGGAACCAGCCAAGGCAAAGGCAGAGATGGGAGATGGAGTGTTTGTTGTGTGTGAAAAACATCAAACAAGCCAGTGCGGCTGGATCTCAGAGTATATGGAAGGCAGTAAGGCGTAAGGAAACTGGAAAGGTAGAAACAGATCAGGTTATGATGGGCTTTAAATGACAAACAGAAGATTTTATATTTAATCCTAGAGGTAACAGGGAGCCACTTGGCTCTTTTAGCAGGGAAGTGATATGGTCAGACTTACATTTTACACGGTCATTTCTTTTTTCTAGACAATTGGGATTAAGTGACTTGCCTAGGGTCACACAGCTAGTTAAGTGTCAAGTGTTTGGTCTGAGGCCGGATTTGAACTCAGGTCCTCCTGACTTCAGGACCGGTGCTCTATCCACTGCGCCACCTAGCTGCCCCTTAGACTTACATTTTAGAAAAATCATTTTGACAGCTGAGTGGAGGATGGATTGGAGTGGGGAGAAATGTGAGGCAGGGAAACTAATTAGAAGATTATTGCAGGGAAGAATATACCTATACACAGCTGAGTACAGGAATGTATTTCACTCAACAGGGAAACAGCAAGGAAAAGGGAGAAGAGATTGGGGGGAATTAGAGGGAGAGTAGATTAATCCAAAGCAAAACAAAGTCTAACTAATAATATGCAAAAATATTTGTAGCTCTTTTTGAGGTCATAAAGAATGGAAATCTAAGGGGATGCCCCTCAAGTGGGGAAAGGATGAATAAGTTATGGTATATAAATGTGATTGAATACCATTGTGACGAAAGAGAAATGATGAAGGAGATTGTTTCAGAGAAACCTGGGAAGACGTATATGAATTGATGCTGAGTAAAGTGAAAAGAACCAGGAGAATAATTTATACAATGATAATAATGTGGTAGAGACAAACATATCTGAAAGAGTTAGGAACTCTGATCAGTGTAATGACCAACAACAATTCCTAAAGACAAATGATAGCTTCGTTAGTCTACCTGCCTTCTGATAGAGAGGAGAAGGACTC